CACCCTGGCTAGATAGCAAAGTATTGTTAGTCCTGTTTTCCTGACTTTTACAATCAAGGCACAAAAAGGTGAAGTTTAAACTTTTTCAAAACACTTCAGGGACGTTAGTCCAATTCTTGTATTCAGTCATGATTTAAGCACTTCAGTTTGCTTCTCTTTCAAGGAGCACAATAAAATTGGCTTTTGCAGGATGTTAAATGAAAGTTATCCTCTTAAGTGCCATTTACAGAGTTGAAGGAAACAAGCAGATCTGAAGGAGCTGTGCACGTCCTTTGGCATTCTCACGAATGTGTCTGCCTCTTGTACCAAACACATAGGTCAATATTGACGAAATTATGGTTCAGAGATGATCCTTCACCTGCAGTAATAATCCCCTCCAGAATAGTAAAAAGGGAAGGAGAGAATGAAGAAATCATCCTAAATGTGTGTATCAATGTAAGAGCATATTCCAATTGATTGCAGCTATTTATAGTCTGATGTTAATATTTAGCTGAAAGTTGCCACGTTCCATCAGTGTTAGGAGAGGACTGAACCCCAAAGACTGTCTCAGACGTGGGAGAGTGAGGGGCTCTTGCACTTTGAACATGTGAACCCAGAAAGAGGATTGTTAGCTGGAAAGGAGCAGAGCACTTTTTAGGTCAGAGCCTACCGGTAAGGAGTACTTTTGGGGAGAAAACGCTTCCCTCCGTTTATTTGTTTGCTTGGTTCCTATGAGGCAAAAAGCTCCAGTTTCTTTTGTTGCTTAATTAAAAAACAAAAAGCAAACATGACCACATTAAGTATATATTTGAGATGCATCTTTGCATTCACATTCTTGTGGAAAACTCTTCAGAGGCCCTGAAGTTGAGCTGATTGTACTGACTGAATAGACAGTTCTTGGTTTTTTGATTTTTGCCTTCAGTCAAGGATATCGTAATGCTAGCCATCATCACCATTTTACAGATTAAAAAAGAAAGTTGTGATGAATTGTCCTAGCTTTACTGATGCAGTACATTAACACATTATAAAACACATGAAGAATGCTAAGGCTGCCTTCGGTAGCAGGTCTCCTTGTTTCTTCTAACGTCATGAACAGCAAACAGAACCAGGGAACTTCCTCTGACCCCAAGTAATAATTAACCAATTTTAAGGAAACACTGTGTGAAGTGAAAACCTGTACGATTTGTTTCTTGTTTTTTCCTGCATTTGCATTCATGGCAAATAAATGGCAGCCTCATATCCCTTTCAGCAGTTTTTTTTAGTGTGTAGTCCATTTTGCTAATATTAAATGAAACGATGGTTGCCCAAATGGTTGCCGCATAAAAGGAAATACAGAATATTCTTAAACAAGTGTAAAGGAGAGAGAAAGCTCTTAGCTGGCCTAGAGATCATCATCATCATCATTACGAGGGCTATGTTTTCCATCCGGAGAAAAGAATCAAAATTAGAGTTGACAGAGTCTATAATGATGACTGTGTCTTGGCAATGGTGTCGATACAAAGCAGCCTCTATTTTATACAGAGAAATCTTAAATTTTCACTTTAAAATTGATTTTCCATAAACAGTCTCACAGTTTAGAAGAAAGTTGTCTCTAATTAAGGCAGTTGAAAGCTGCTTAGCATTATGCATGTCATGATTTAAATCTTTAAATTTTCCAGTGTTTGCAGAGACGCTTCTGCAAAATAATTTCTTCCAAATCAGAACTGTAAGATACCTCTATTTTGACTTTTGTAGGATCCTTGAATCTATAATGATCCAAAAGAAATGTGTAATGTTTCATTTAGTGGCAAGTTATGTCACAGTTATTTTTTAGCTGACTGAATGATGCTGTGCTTTGGGGGCTGCACCCAGGAAAAGATATGCTTGTTTGTGGACACCAGTGGTTGGTGATGCACATCGTCTGTTTGCAGCAGTTTGCTAGGCTGCATCGCTTTTAGTGTTTGTGGGGCTGAAGGACGGGGATGTTTTTATTTATTTCTATGTGTACCACGTGATACGTAAAATGTGCATAAATTGCTGCAGGATAGCTATACCTAAAACTAGAAATTTAAGAAAATACCATTCTCAGTAATCTTTTTTTTTTTTTTTCCTGGTTGCATCCTCTCCTAGGTTACTTATGGGAGAAGCAACTGAAACTGGCCACAACTTTCCTACTGCTGCCTCTGGGTGTCTGCAAGCGTGCAATAGCTTTCATGCTGCGAGAAGCGTTGGCTTGTTACGGAGACTCAGTCTGGCGTTAGGCCTGGCCTGAAATGTCAGACACCACAATAGAAAATAGTAGCGGTAAATGAGAGTTTCTTCCACATAGACCTACTTTGCTTCACTGGCAGAAGATGCTTAGAACATGCAGTACTGGAGGTAGGGAGATTCCTTGGAGAAAGAAGGGGCAGACTTGTAATAACGAAACCCAGAAGTTTCTGTTAAAGAGATGAAGTGTTGGGTTAGGAGGAGGTAGGGTTTTGAGACCACAAATGCTATTTCAGATTTTGCAAATGAATGCTTTGGGGGGCGCGTGGGTTATTTATCAAGTATTCAGTTGCAATCCAGAATGATTTAGTATACCAAGTACTCGTTTTCCCATCTTTTGGGAAGAGGCACAGGATCTTACATGAAGTTAGTCAGGTGTTCCCTTCTTGTCCAGTCCTCATCACAAAAATGCCAAATAAATAGTCATGATCTGCTCAGCAATCAAGAAGCGCAGGAGTCAAGCTGGCATTGACTTTTATTACATCGCTTCAGTACACTTTCGAAGCTACTGATGTGAAAAAGGCTTTTATTGTACAGATGTCCCCACCGTGACTTGATAAGAAGAAAAATGTACCATTTATTTATAATGCTGTCAAATTCGAATTTCCTAGTTTTGGTAACCTATTCATAGAGGAATAACTCACTGAAATCAGAGATTCAGCTAAAAGATCCAAGGAGACTTAGCTCCTCTCAGCGTGCCAGAAGAACAGGAACAAGAGAACTACAGGGACGTCTCCAGGTATTTCATCTAATACAGCTTTATGTTGTAGTTCTTTTTTACAAATCGACGTGGAAGCAGTCTGCTCTCACTATTTTGGGATAAGCTCATACAACAGTTTTTCACATTTGTGAATATTAAAACTAAAAAAACTAAACCCATAGATGCACCGCATGGGTGAGTTGAAGGGTTGTGCACACCAGTCCTTTAATGACTTCTTTGAAACAGCGAGAACAATTTATCTTGGATGGCATTTTAGGGTGATAGTCATAGAGAAGAGGTCAGAACAATTTTAACTCTCAGAAATACTTTTTTTTATGTAGCAACCATGCCTTTATTTTTATCGAGGAACCTGCTGGAATGCGTCTGGCAAAGCACTTTGGGCACCGCGTACGATGGCCGTTTTGGCGTGGAGGACCGTCTGCCCTCCAGCTTCTGATGTCTTACTGCTGCTTTTGCTCTTGTGGCTTCTGCTTTGCTAGTGATTCGGCACCTGCAGAATCCATTGGTGGGCGGTATTGTGAGACTACGATGCAGAGCGTTTTACCACCTTTGTTGGCTTTGGTTGTACCCTTAAGACGCAGCACGGTTTCTGTGCAACTGTTTATTTAGACTTGTAAATAAGTAAGCTCTGTATGCCCTTCCTGCTTAACTCCGTTTCATTGTTTCCTCTTTTTCAAAAAACTGGCTATTTACATATGTTTATATTTCCCTCTAATATCTAATTTTTAGGATTTATCTTGAATTTGAAATCAGTGTCAATAACTTGATTTATTGGACTTTGGGATTTTTGCTTTGTTGCGTCACTGAAATTGCTTAACAGGAAGAGGTGGTTGTTGATCTCTTCACAAAATCTTTCCGTACAATATACTATATTAAATTTTCCTATAAAATTACAAATGTTGACCATTTTTATGACTCCTTTATCTTAACTGCAGTTCTTTTGGAACCTCGTTTGTTAAACTTTTACAGATTGACAGAACAGTAAAAGTGAGGAAAATCATGTAAATTGTGCAATAGCTGTAATTATGCTAATGTATTGGTTGTGGTTTTATGGTTATGTGATGTGAAGGTCTGAGCTGGAGCAGGCAGGTTTCTAGAGCCAGTTTTAACTCATAGATTTTTATATATTGTTTCAGTTTCTCAGTCTTTAAGAGAAAACTGGTTGAGATTTGCTCTTGTATGTAGCTCATGCATTTGTATAGAGCATATTTCAGAGAATTTCCTTTTCCACTGCTGAAAGTATTCCTAAAGTAAAGCCATAATATATACAAAAATGCATTGATTTAGTGTAGTTTAAGTATCAGGTTGTGCCATTTTTGAAGTTTGCACTATGCAAAAAATCTGAGTACCGTGAAAATTTAAGGACAGATTAAAGGCACTACTGTACAGGAGACTTTATCATATTTAAACTGACATATGTTATACTAAAATTTTCTGACCTCAAGGTTGCGTTTAGATGTAGTAAAATATTGCTCTCACTCTTGAATTGGTGATGTTTGTTTTTAAAGTAAAGATTAATACACGTGTCTGGTGCAATTAGAGAGTGCAATTCACCAATTAGCTCTTGCATGACCAGTGTATCTGGAGAAACGGGGCTTGTAAAAAGCGGCCACAATTAAATATCTGCATGAGATTGTTTTTTAATTTACTTTTGTTAGTAGCTGCTTCTGTTTGCTTCCAGGTGGCTTTTTCCAAACAGTAAGTCCACTCTAAACAGAAAAGGGGGAGGAAGAAAAGATTTACCAGTATCTTTTATCAGGTTTCTTTGCAGTTTCTCTTGCGCCTGACAAGATCAGCTCGTGGACCTACTTAGAATGGCTGCTCCTATATTGTTCTAAACTGTAATGCATGCTACGAATAATCTCATAAACTAATGTCACTTCTGTTTTTACTCAAAATAGCAGCTTGCAGCAAAAATAAATTTTAAATTTTGTTTTTTAATTTTGGATCTCGAAGAGGTACATAAAGTATGCACCCTAAGTTAGCTGTCATGTAGCACAACATACACATTGATTAATTTACATATGTATTTATTTATTGTATTTTACTGTAGGCAGAGAATTCAGCACTGGCTCTGGAAAATGAAAGTCAAAGAGAACAATATGAAAGATGTCTTGATGAGGTAAGGTGAATAAAAAAGGGGTTCTTGCCTGGCACCACAATGAAATGATGAATTGATAGGAATCTCTCTCTGTCTCTTACAAGGTTAACATTATTCTGCAGTTTTCTACTGTTACCTCATTCTAGTTAAATCCAAGAATATATGTCTGTTAGTTATACATATTGTTTTCCATGATCTCCACTGTAAATGCTGTGGGCCGCACCTCTTTATTGAAAAGTCTGTATCCCTGTGACCAATATTTGGAACTTTATGGATTTTTTTTTCGTTAGGAGGAGGAAGTGATAATTTACCTGTTCTTTTTTGTGCACTCCTGCTGTTCTGTAGAGTGGAACACAGATGGCAGTGGCTCCTGCTGCCAGACATCCCCCAGCTTTCCTTTGTACTATAGTCCCTATCCAGGGAATTTAGTCCCTCTGTTCCCCCTTAGGGTTACATACCCAGGTTTTTGTGTTGGTTTTTTCCTAGCTGTCAACTCACTTATTCTCCTACACAGCTCAGCTTCTGATCAGGCCTCCCAGTTACGGCTGCCGTTTAATTCACCCATCATTTATTGTATGAGCCCTCCAGCAGTACTTACAACTTCCAGAAATGTCTAGCGCTGGACTTGCAAGACTTTGGGCAGAGTCTGCTATTGTCTGCAGGTTTCTCAGTGTACTTGGTGATGCTTGGTCATTCCTCCCATTTATCCTGAAATAAGGCTTTTCAGTATGCCCAAGAGCTTGAAATAGGTTTAAGACTTTTAGCAGATCCAGGAGCTGCTTGGTAGAAATCATCAACCCCTTCCATAATAATAGTAGCATAAATAATTAACTAAGACAAGGAAACAAACCAAAACCCACTGCACTGGATTCCCAGCTCTGCCTCTGAGAAAAGAGTACGTGAGTGTGTAAACTGCGTAGCAGAGGGCAGTTCATGTCTTCATTACCAGCTTTTACATTTTTGATCAGTATTTGCTCACCCGTTACTGGAATGATCAATACCTCTCTGGTACTAGAAGCCTCTAGTTTGAGCAAGTTTTCGTCAGGCAATCTGCGCTTCTATCAGGGTAGTGTATTTTTCTCAGAGGACTGGAATAAACCAGATATATTTTCCCACTGGGTTATGCCATATCTGTTCTCTGGTGCTGGGATACTGACAAAGTCTTGGTCGGTGTTGGCCTGAGTCACTCCCTTCAATGCACTCTTGAATGATGTTTGGATATCCTTGAATATATTTGGATATAAGGATGAAACTATAATGTAATTAAGTAATTATTCATTTTAGTTTAAATTACAGAATGTGACTTAAAACTATTTGCTGATTGTCTTGGATAAAAATCTGCCTGCATAATTCATTTTGAAAATGGGTAAAGCACTACAACTGTCAGTCCCGAAAAAACAGCCTCCATACTGATTACAAGGACAGAAGATATTTGTGTGTGTGTGTGTGTTTGCAGGAACATAATGGATTTCTCATCCAAGACTGTGTTTCTTACATGCTGTTGCAGTTCAAAGGATGAATAATTATTTCAAACTACCCTCTGAGCTTTATTGTCTTCAGCATTAGGTTGGCTGTTTTCAGTTCTTGCACATTATCACAGCTGTATCCACCTTCTCCCACTACCACAGCTTTTCCAGGAGGGAGTGCTTCATGCTTAGAACTGACAAAGGCATGCAGTTTTGTGCGTTCCTGCTTTACTTGTTGTTTGTTTTATTTTTCCTTTTTTTTTTTTGTCTTCTGTTTGGTGGTGTGCAATGCCCTTTCTTGTCCTTCCCCATTACTAGTTGTCAGTCTTTTTCTTCTCCTTCCTCTTTCATCCCAGCAATGCTTTGGCAGTGACACTGTAACCAGTATTGTCTTAGCTGACACTGACTTGGACTTAATCCTTTCTGAGCACTGAGGGGAAGAAGCTGTTGCCAGTGACTTAGGCAACAAAACTGCATTTCATATTCACAGGTTCTGTAGGAGTCCCAGCTTAACATCCACCTGAGCACATTCAGTTGGCTTCACAGAAGAGCACATGTTTGAAGGTTAAACAAGGATCTTCCCTACTTCATTACTGTAAAAATAAAGAGAACTGGAGATGAGACATATATATAATTAGTGAGTAACCCTGGCAATGATGGTGAGAACCTTCAGTTCCAAGCAGAAACTTCTCAGGTTGTAGCATATGTGACAGAGCCCTCTCCAAGCAGGGATTCTCCCTGGAGATCTTGCGAAACTAAAATCTTTTTCATAAATATTTCTATGAGGAAAAAAATTCTTCTTCCACTGGAAAATTTCTTTCCTTTAAGACTCTAAGTCTGATGCTTGCTCTCTTCAGAACTGACCCTACACAAATCTCGCTTCTCCAAGGTGAACATTTCTTCAGGACTTCCCTAGTTTAGGCTATACCTAAGGACTTCTTCAGGAGTTTTCAGAAGAGGTATCCCATATAACTGTGTATCCTTCTGGGCTACAGCTCCATTTTGCCCCAAGGAGACCTGATGGGTTTAAAGGATGTTCCTCAGAACATGAGGCTGTGGTCATGTCCAGACCTGAGATAGCTAGCCCTGCCACCAAGGAATTTAAGTGCTTGCTGCAGCCGTTATTTTAATTTTGTCTTTGCAGTCCGGTTGGTTATGAGAATATTGAACTTCTGGGCTGATGCACAAGGAATGCTTCCCTCCAAACCTAATGCCCAGCCTTTCTTTCTAATCATAGAAGGGTTCTGAGAAAAACACTTACATAGGTGCATAGGTATTTGGGATACTTGACAGACCCTTGAGGTAATGAAGGTTGAGAATGCCGCTTGGTGAACTAGTGGGAGAAGGCTGCCATCCCTCGCCTGTCGGTGGGCATCCTCAGATCACTGCTTCTGTCTTTGGGGCCCAGGAAGATTCTGCTCACGGCATGCAAGCATGACATAAACTGGCAACCCTGCCCGTAGCCTCCATACTTGGTCCCTGAGGCCTCTTCAGCAGTATGATAAGGACTCCCACCTATGCACAGAGTGACGTGTTGACAGCCATTAATAGCCATTGACATCCGAAGGAAGAGAAAATAACCACCATGATTCATCTGGCTGTGCATAACAGAAAGATATTAGCGCTGATTTTTGAAAGCCCTGACTGCCATTATTTCCCTCCTTTGTCTTTTTTTAGCCAATCGTTTTTATAGTTCTTTGCTCATTCATTCCCTACATGTAATATTGTAATGTGAATGCTTGCACCTGTGACTTAAGAAATGCATGTTCTGTGGTCATTTTCATGGTAAAATTCAGTGAAACTCAAGTATTCGTAGAGATGACATCTAAAAAGAGTGTGGGTCTAGCTGAATTGAGTCCTTTATGAATTTTAATAAATATTCACTGATTTTTAAAGTAGTTGTCCATCTCTGAAGTGTATATATACACATCTTTGCAGTAATAGTTGGAAGAAAGCGTCATTGAAATGTTCCAGTACTACACAAACAGGAAAAGAGCTCATTTAATTTCAAAAACACCCCATATCTTTCTGTCTCTAGAAAATTTAATGCAGGAAATAGGATTGTCTTATTGTGCCTTTGGGGTTTGGGGTTAACATGCTTCATCCTAGTTTCCTGTCCTGGAATTCAGCTGTCAGTCTATTGGCAAGTAGTAATGTTGTGTTTATTCACATTCCTGTGCCAACCAAGATTTCTGTCAAGCTTCGCTTTATTTATATACAGGAAATTGTGCAACGTAGGGTAGATGGTATTTTTGTTGATGTTTTAAGAATTAAACTACAGTGGTATTAAATACATATCAAATTGACTAATGAAAAACATAAAGTCATCTTAAAAATGCATTCTGTCTTTAGGAGTGAAGAAAAATATAGAAGCTTTCATTTTAGTACACTCGAAATGCCTTTGTGCATATGAAACCATACTTAAAGACACAGTTATGTGAAATCTCAGTTCTTGTACAAGGTATAATAGATGTTACACGAGGGTCTCTTTTCTCTGATTCATTCTTTTGTATCTTTTCTATTAGGACCACTTCATAACATGTATATGTAAACATAATCGTGTTAGGAAACAGTGAAGCTTGATCTTTTATCTCTTTTATTGCAATCGACAAAAAGAAACCTCACCTAAAAATCTCAGATAGGAAGTTCGAAAGGAAGGCAGACAAAGTGAAGGCAAGCAGTGACATCTACTCCATACCAGCAGTCTAAGGGACAGGCCATCTCTCTTCTCTTTCTTGTTTTGCCTTGACTATCAGCTTTGTAGGGCTGGCTTATGTTGTTCACACCGGTAGTGTCTCTTGATAGCCATAAATAAAAATGGTATAGGTGTGCTAGCTTAGCAGCTTATTTCTTTCTGCACGCTAACATGGCTGTAGGAGCGGAACGGCAACCGTATTTGAACTGCAGAGGTTTGGATATAGTTCCGCTAATGGACTACTAAGCTAACTGTAGTTACTACACAGCATTTCATTGGAGGCTTGCCACCACTATTCCTGCAGCAAACCAGGAGCACAGACCTGAAAATCTTTGAATGGTGATGGCAACACTCAATTTGCCAAATTGTGCATCACTAGATTAACTAGAATGAAATAACCTGATTTTGTTAAGAAACTAGTTGCATATCTTTCTTATTGAGATTTATGGCAGCTAGGGTCACTGGCAAGTACTTTAATTTAGATACCTAACTTCATACGCCCTAAGTTGGAAAATTTGTCCCGTCTGCATCAGCAAGTTCAGTTTTTTCCATTTGGTAGATTATGCCATTTGCACTCCTCTGTGCAGTACATAAAGCTACAGGGATAATTTTCTCGGCAATTCTGCTGCAAGTGACTTGTACACACTTCAAAAAACTCTTTAGATCTTCTTGGTAAAGTAACTCCATGTCGGAAAGCAAAGAAATAATGTATTAGATGTGGTTTGTTCAATTTTCAGGTAGAGCAAACAGACGTTAAAAGTACGTGCCAGAAGGAACACTTTCGGATGGAGATTCTGAAAGCCTATAGGGCAATGCACATGGTTTTCCAAAGCTGTAACACATTTATTTCTGTTGGTTATTATCGTTGTGGTATTAGTCTGTGTCTTCTGTAAATCATACACAGAGCTATTTTATGTGGCCATTGTTCCACAGGCAAAAGCAAAGTTAGGGACTAGTTTGGAGAAAAAAAATTGATATTATGAGCATATGAATCAAATGTAACTTTTGGATCTGAAAGAACTGAATTATTTACAGAAATGAATTACCTTCAGCTCTTTGCTTATGACTCAGTTCACATGAATGGTCTTTTTTGTTTTTGTTTTAAATTCCCTCAGATTAAGGAGAATCAACGTAGTTTTGAACTTCCAAACGACGTCCTTAGGTGCTTTACTGTAATCCCTGAAAGCCTAAAACTGCTATCTCTTTGTGCATAGAGTGAGATTTCTGATTGCTCTGCTTAAATACAAGAGCAAAGTTGTAGGCAAACACATTGTGTGATAATATGTGCACGTATAGTTTCAAATTACATTAGATTATGGCAGCACTAAAATGAAATATTCAATTTAGACATCAACAACAATCTCGGCCCCTCTTTCTGTTCCTCTGTCTTCTCTTGGCGGAAGAGATAGAAAGAGAGATAGAAAGGATATATAAAATAAATAACTTCAAAAATTCCCTGTTGAATATATAGTTCTACTAATGAATGCTGTATAATCTAATTCAAGTCAATTATGCTGTGTGGTGTGAATGCCTTCCAACCACATTTTGATGACAGTAGGTACTTTAATTTTCTGTGGCACTTTATGGTTTCTGCTTGTCATGATAGATGTACTGTTTTGTCAATATTGCATCAAGAAACAATTAAACTTCATGAAAGCATTCAGGACTACATCCTCAGCTGGTACAAGTCAGCTGTAGTGAATGCAGTCAATCCATGCTGATGCACACCAGCTGCATCTAGAACCATGACATTTTAATCTAATCCAAAGAAGAGATGACAGAAGTTCAGCAAATGTCCATCATGTCATTCTGCAATTGATAAGACACAGAAGTTTGTTTTAAAATGAGGGCTAGCACAGAAGTAATTACTTGGATTCTATATACTCTCACTAGTGTTATCTCAGGAAAATATTAGAATTAATGGTGATTGTAGATGGAAAGTGGATTGTAAAGCCACAGAAGGAGGTACTGTCATGCATAAGCATACATGACAACATACTTAAACTATATTATTTATTTATTTATTTCAGGTAGCTAATCAGGTTGTCCAGGCTCTACTTACTCAAAAGGTAAGTTGTGGTTTGAGCATTTTGATATGACTTAAAGCTTACAGATGTTTATTGTTCACTTACAAGATGCATATTCTAATTTAGGATATATTTTTCAGATGGTGTTTATACATTTACTTACCAAAGCTGCAACATGTCAGGCCCAAATTCAATTTTTTTTCATAATCCTAGTCAATAAAATTCTATGAGACTGTACTTCTTTAAGGGTTGATCACAGAGAATCCATATTCCAATTCTTATTATTTGTCTATACTGAGAAACAGTGTCTGGAAGTCCTTCCTAGATGGCGATTTTTCCATTCCGTATACATAGCGAGTTATTTTTCTCCCCCTGTCCATTCCTGTGACATATCCAAAAAAAAAAAAAAACCAACTAAGTCAGTAGTTGGCATTTTCACTCACCACATTCAATGAAAGGGAAGACTTCTTAGTGTGGGCCTGTGTTTCCCTGAGTAAAACAGAAGTCACTGTATCTAGACTAGAGATGTAACTATTCTACTTGAGGGCTGAGAGGCAGCGATAGACATCATATATTTTGTCTTTAAAAAAACTTGCGATGGTCTCATGCCCCATTCTCATAGGCAAGCAAGGGAAATATTGTGTAGATGAAATTCGTGCAGGGTGGTTGCAAATCTGTCAAAATGAGAAGATTCACTAAGGCTTCTGTAAAGGTCTGTTATCTCTGAAGTGTTCATTCACACTCCAAATGATTGAACATAGTATGGTTACTGCATTTTTAGATAGAACCTAATGGGAGGAGTAAAATTTAAAATGATCATGGCAAAATGCAGAAGCTATCTGGAAAAAAAGTAGGATGGAATTTAACAGAGACAAAAGGAAAGTACCTCACATAAGCAGAAATAATCAGCTGCCCAGATAGAGGGTAGGGCAACAATTCTACAAAAAAACCTGTAGGGCAGCAATTCTACAAAAAAATGGTCTTGAAGTTGAACGTGATTCGGTGATGTCATTTTGTTGCAAAAATAAATAAGTAAATAAAGATTTATAAAAAGCTGTGAAGCCTGCAGTATTCGTGGAATGATCTTTCATGAGATCTAGAACACTTGATGAATGTGGAATTATTAAAATGTTTTGGATCACTAAGCTTTGAGAAGACAAGGCTGAAAGGGACATAAATACAGTCGTCTAGTGTGGGTACTGCAAGGAAGAATATAAACAGCTTTGACTACATTGAATGATAGGACAACAAATAACGTTCTTAATATGCAGCTAGAAACACTGCATTGAGATAATCAAAAACAACTTCCCCAAGCCCAGAAGTTTTCTAAAGGCGAATAAAGTACTTGGAGTAGATTTTTGGGAGAAGATCTCTAAAACCTTTAAGGACACCTTTGAGATGGGTACCAGGGGCAGCTTTTCCTGAGGGCTGGCCGGAGCAGTGGCGCTCCGATGAGGAGCCAGGGTGCAGAGCGGCAAGTCTGGGTCCACATGGGGTCCTGAGCCAGTGCTGAGGGTTGGACGCGGTCCAGAGATCACCTGGTGGAGTCTGCAGGGAGGAGGCAGGTCTGGGGCCGGTGCGGGGGGACAAGAACTGGGGTGGAGGAGGCAGGTGGCTGGGTGCAGCCATAGCGGCAAGACAGCCATAGCGTGGCTCAGGCAGGGGCCGAGGGCGAGCGTCTCTGCTGCAGAGCGGCTCCTGCAGGAAGGGGGACAGGTCCTTGCCAAGGCGCTGCCTCTGGCTTGCTGTCTGTAAACATCTATAAACATCTGCACCTAAGGAAATAGCAAATAGGTTCTCATGACTGCATCTGGCCATTTGGATGCCAGTAAGAGGGCCGGATACCCTTCTCTGGTCCTTACTAGGCCATTTTTTTGTGCTTCTGCTTTATACCAGTCTGGGTAGGTTAAAGATGTGCAGGTGGCCTTTCTGACCCTGTTCTTAGCAAGTCTGCCCTTGGGTATCTTCCTGCTGTAGAGGCAGAGAGGTGCAGGCGTGACTCGTGGGTCATGGGACTCCCACCGGTGCAGTTGCCAGTGATATAGCTGTCGCGCACATGTAGCCCAAATGAGCACCTGGAATCCAGAATTAATAAAGTTCCCCAAATCCCTTCACCCAAGACATCTGGCCACAGAGTAGTTCCAGAGCTGCCACCACCGACTAGGGATGAACGTTATCATCATTCAATCCCGTGGTTTTTGACTGCACAACTGAGCTTTTACTCCGTACCCTACAGCAACTGGAAGTATTATGGCGTGGAAGTGATTTGTGCAAACCCCAACAAATGGGGAAACTGGCAGTGCTGCTGTCTGGGCTGTGTTGCTCTGCGCAGACCCTGCCTGGATGCACACGTGCTGTATGGGCTGTGCATCATCGGAGGGCTGCCGTCTCCAGAGCGATTGCTGCAACACCTTCCCGAGACATAACTTCAGCTTGTGAAAAAACAACCCCTACCCCAAATCTCTGTTTTAATGTAGCTTAACTAGAAAGGAAGGCATTTCTTCCTCTATAAATACACACATAAACCTGATCCACATTTTGTAATACAAAACCATATGTGATTTGCTAGAGGGTTAGTCTCAATTTATTAATCTCTGGTTCAGGAACATTATGGTTGCTTTCCAAATGAAGGGAGGAGCTTCCCGAATCCCTGTGCAAGGGCATCAGGCATTTTGATGGCTGCTTAACTCCTCGGTAATGAATCCTCCCAAACCCATAGGAACCAAGGAGTTCATATGGATGCAATAAAACAGATTTGAATGCATTTAATAAAGTGATTTACTAAGTATTGATGGGATTTAACAGCTGCTTACCTATTACTGAGTAATAGCAGCTAATTTAATATCTGTAAAAAGAAAAAAGAGGGTAGTCTTCTAAATGCTGATGAATATTAGCCGTTACAGTACTCCTGACACCACTGATACAAGTTCTTTTATATGAAAGGACAGGAAGACAATAGCATACAATAAAGAGGAAATTGGACCCCTCACACCAGTCCCAAATAGGCAGATATCTGAATCCAAATAGTAACTAGTAAACAGCTAAATCTACCGTAGCGCAGCTAAGCATTAAGACAGAGCCAGTCATGCCACAGTGAGATAACACACCTCTGGGGCATAGCGAGACGTGAAGAAAAGCAGGGAGCTTTCAGAACATCGAGAAGAGTGATGCTGTACAGTAACGCACGCTGCGTGGGCTTTACTGTGAATTTGAAATTGTCCCTCAAGGGCTAATTATTGTTTAAATTAAATACGTAGTGTGACGTGATGAGGAAAGCACTGTGTACTCACCAGCATGTGGAAAGGCTGTGATTCCACGGAGGGATTCTGGTGACACAAATTGAATGAGCAAAGCTTGAGTGATTTGTCAATGTCACGGAAACCTTGCAATGGAATTACAGGCCTAAATGTGCAGTTTTCAAGTTTATCGTTTGTTACACTGCATATAAAATTTCTCTAATGTGAGAGTGTTTTTTTTTTTTTTTTAAACTGGGATTATGGAGGAACTGTATTAAATAGTGATTTGTACTGAATTAGCCACACAGCAAAATTTTGCCATTTTATGTAGCAAAATTGTATGGATTTTCTACCACTTACTAATAGAAAATTTTTCCTCTGGGAAATTAAGAATTCAGAAAAAGACCCACAAAATTATTTGAGGCAAACCCATGTGCTGTAATACTTACTGGAAGCGTCCATTCTTTCCCCCTTCACCCAAAGACGTCTCATACCAAGATAAGATGGTAGGACTGCTGGACACTGCTTTTTTCTTTTTCTCTTTTTCTTGCATATAAGATCTGGATCAGCAGTTTGAAATTTGAGTTACAGCACTTAATGAAATTGTTTTATGATCTATGGATCTGCACTTTGCGTGCTACCCTCCTGCACACGAGGGTTTTCAGGAGAATATTGGATCTCTTTCGCTCTGGGTTCTGTGGGAAAGTTATGTCTTCGTCTTTCTCATCAATTAAAAAAATGAACTAAGTTTTCATTTTCATTTCATTTTCATTTCATTTTCATTTTCATTTTTCATTTTCATTTCAAATGAAAAAAAGTTTTAAAACAGAGGAAGCATATTCAGAGGAAAAGCAGCATACTTCTGGAACCTCTAGTAAGGGCACTGGAACCCATTTTGGAGAAAAGTCTGATATTGCATAGAAAAAGTAAGAATAGAGAGATGATCAGTTACTACTGTAGTGAGACCATAGAAATACCTTAGATATTTATGAGATTATTTTCTTAATATCTGGTCATTTTGCCCACAGGAGTGGAATTAGACGCTTCAGACATTTGCTAGTTGCATTAATTGCTATGTTTAGGTTTTTAACATTCTAAGCTGAGACTATTTTAGCAGAATACTCCTACCTTCACGTTCTGCTTTTCTCCTCTGTACTATGAGTGCTGTTACTATTGGCACGGTTTATAGCATTTGGGCTGGTAATTTACTTACTTATATTTCATTTTTTAGCAGAAAGTCTAAAGTTTGAGAAACGTAAATCTTATGGTTGTAAAACTGTAAGATAGGAAAGTTTTGTGCAGAGGCATTACTAAAATTGCAATTTTTTTTCTACGCTGTCAGTTTCTGTTAATCATTTTTCGCTTTCAGTGCACTCAGCGGGGTTGAACCGTTAAACATCGTTGTAACAGCTAGGGCTCTGTTTTTAATTCTCTGATTATTTGCGAAAGGCAGATAATGATGGGTCTTGATGCTTGTAGTTTCCTAATAGAGGGCAGATAATGATGGGTCCTGATGCTTGTAGTTTCCTAATAAAGATCACCTCGTGTAAGGCCAGAGATGAGAGAGGTCTCACTGACAGAATTAAAGCTTTAGGTTTTCACAAAACATCAAATTCAAGATTTTTTTTTTTGGTCATGGTGGAATGCTGTAGCCATTTAATTTGGACAGCCTGACAGCCACTTAAATATTAAGGTGAGAAAGTGTCTGGAGAAAATAACTGTATTAATTCAGTAGTATCTTAAAGTTTGATACCTACTACGTGCATAAGAAAATATTTAAAGTTTTCGGAAAGTTGCAAGATGAGCTTATTTTATCGTGTCTTTACCTCTTATAACCTCGGAGCTAGTTACAGGGGAGACCAGAGCTACTGTAGGTAAGAATTTAGGCTACATCTGACTATAATTTCCGCCTCTGAGTTGTTTTCTCATATGGTTAGGTTATTACATTGGTAATGGTATTGACAGGACAGCATATGGGAATCCAGAGGCCTGTTTCCCCACCTTCATCTGGTAGAAAGTAAAATGAGCTAGGCAATACCACAGGGTAGCAACTGGCCTAATTTTAAAGGAATGTGGAAAAGTGTTTTGGAGTTTTGTTTTTTTTTTTTTTTCTAAGAATATACATGGCTGCAGCTGTTTGTTTTGTATGTAAGCTTTATTAGAAAACCACTCTTCCTGATTTATGAAGCTCTCATACCCCAGAGTGGACAACTGCACTTATTATGTAGCAAAGCTAAGGGTCAAATTTTGCTTTGTGTCTCCAAAATCCTCTTCTGAGAGAATCCTGTATTCCCTCAAGTGGCCAGGAAAAGCAGGTCTTATGTTGAAGTCAGAAATAAAATTTTTTCTTTTGCTATATCTAAGGCCATTAGGGGGTTGCTTACGATGAGCCTGGCTTAGCTTTGGCGAAAAGACGTGCGTCTTTCGATTTAGGCAGTAAGGTCACGTGCCTTCAAGTGTAGAGGTTTTACCTACTCTCTCTGCTTCTAATGGACTATCTTAAGGCCTTTTGGTACCTCATATTGGAAATGGCAGCCAGGATCATATTTGTAAGTGAATTTGGAGGTGCATGGACATTTTACCATGGCCTGGCCACCTCTGCAGTGACTACTTGCAGCAGAGAAGACGCAAACTGTCTACTACGTACCGGGCAGCATTGCTATTCCAGGAAAAGTAAGGAGAGGATCAGTCTTTAGAAGAGTACCTTGAAGGCACAGTGCTTCTTTGAACTTCTTCCTGGTATGGCGTAGCTTATGCTTTTTCTGTACCTTATGCTCTTTATAATATTCATATCTTAATTGCCGTTTTATTATTTGTGACAGTGTGGCTACAAAAGGAAACACATTGCTAGTAAAGTCACTTTTTAATAGAACATTGCAAAAGGATATCTCATGTAACTTACACTTCTCATTTCCAAGTTTTTTAATGTTATCCTGTGATGATCAAAAAACCAGAGAAAATAAAGTAGCGCATTTTTCTGATTTATGCTATTTTAAAAGTTGTATATTTATTTCTTCTTGGTGTCTGGCATTACCTAAAGTTTTTTTTAAGTGCTACTGTTACCTTCTTTCTAATCTTCCTATTTTCCCTTGTGCTGTAGGATCTGAGGGAGGAATGCATAAAGCTGAAAACGAGAGTTTTTGATTTGGAACAACAGAACCGAACGTTAAGTGTGCTTTTCCAGCAGAGAGTCAAACCAGCCTCTGACCTCCTCCTTCAGGTAGGAAATAGCCTTTGGAGAAGGAAAGCTATGAGCTTTATATTTCCCACAGTTATATTTTTCTTCTTCTTAAGCTTATGTCAATAAGCAGGAAATGACAGTTAACAGATTTAATACATTAGAAGGATATCAGTCATGTGTGATACATTGAAACTGAGAGTGTACACCAACAAACTGTGACTACATATTATATGCAGATGTGGAGAGAGGAGCCCACCTGGAGAGCAGCTTACTTTTTAGGTGCTTCTTCATTGTGATAAATGGAATGATGTAGGTTCATTATCCCTCTGCAGGGGAGAAACTTGGATTTCTTAACATTCTGCTTGGTGGTGAGCAGTGTAATTTCCTGTGAAGAGACAGCTTATTTATTTAACTTTTGCCATGTTTGTTACAAGTATATCTTCATAGGCTTAGAGCGATTTAACCTTTAGTGGGAGAATATAGCTCAGGAACCGACTGACCCATTTCCCACTCCTTTGCCATTCTGGAATAATCAGAGATGTTTCAGTTTCCCTTTTGATTTGGCAAGGTCCATTATATTATGAATTAATCTATCTTCTTGTTACACTTTTGTGGAAGTGGAACTGACTTGCAGTTCTCTTCCAGGAAATCTGACCCTGAGCCAGGAGGATAGTAAATGAAGACTAGTAGAAACTAAACAGGCTTCTAACAATGAGGCAAATTCTGGCTTTAGTGTTATGTAAGTTATTGATGCTGACTTCAGAGAAAAAATCATGTATATGTGGTAGGAGTTGACTGGATAATGTCAGGGAGGTAAGTGAGATCACACGTATAGCTTATGTAAATCCTCTGATGTTGCACATGCAAACAAGGTAAAATTTGGCCCTTGCAGCGTTGCTCTAAGCTGAGGGCTGCTCACGAGCTCCCAACAGCTTGGGCCATTTGTGGAGGTATCGTGGTCCACTCACCAACGGGTGCTTAAAGGCAAGGGAATTCCTACCGTGAGGGCAAAGAGGCGTACCGGCTTCCTGCGAAACTTGAAGGTGCAAACAGAGGGACACCAGGTCACCAGTCGCTCAAGGTGTGTGCCTTCAGTAGCAGAGACTAGAGGATGGCATACATTTACTTAGAATCTACTCCAAGTGAGCAAAGCCGCAGTGGAGCAGAGGCGAGCAGTCCGTGCAGGCCACCACGGGGGTCTAGGTTCTGATGGTGTTCTTGGGTCCTTGTTCTCGCTCTGGATGCCCTGTTGTTTTAGGTGTTGCTAGGTCAAGACCTTGGTTATTCTGATTTCTTCTAGGTGTTGCTAGGTCAAGACCTTGGTTATTCTGATTTCTTCCCCCCCCCCCCCGCTTCCTTTCCTATTTGTTCGTCCTTCATGGACTCCTAGCTGCTATGTAGAGCTAATTTCTCTTTATCCGCTCACGGTCTCTGACGTATCTACCCCAGCATGGACCTTTATTGCTCGTGTCTGGTTTTGACTGTCACAGCACCTGCTCCTTCTCCCTATTGCCTTTTTTTCTTCTTCCTTTTTTCCATCTCCAAACTGCCTGACTCTAGTCTGTGTTAGTATTGGGTTAGATTGCACCAAGTTGCACATTTCACATTCTTTACTACAGAGTTGGCTCTGCTTCCCAATTCCTTGTATGGCAACAATAAAGCCAGGTTATTCTGGGAGTGTTACAGAAGCGTTAGGTAGCATCTGCAAAGCAAGTGGGATCAAGGCTTTGACTTGAGTTCCTTGAAACTGTATCATGTCACTGCTGTAAAAGGAAGAGGTGAACCTGCCTCAAGTAGAAGAAAGAACTGAATAATTCAGTAGGTTTTCCTGATGGATTCAAACTTTTTCATCATTGCCCCTCCACAGTTCAGCAGAAAGGCCTATCTAATACATACAGAATTTTTTTCCCTTTTCACGTACTTTGTCTTTATGAGGCTGAGGTAAAAAGAGAACCAAGTCCAGGTCTCCCAGATGGCAGCAAAATGTGCTGTTATGTCCCTGCACTTGCTATCAGCAGATTTTAAGCCCCTCGGGGAAAAAAGCAAAGAAGTTGCAGTGTATGTCAGAAAATGAAGAACTTCTGTTAAAGCACTTCATATGTCATTTTTACAGAAAAAGAAAACAGTAGATTTGTGAGTTTCTAGAAGTTAATTTATCTTCTAACTTTACCCTAGACTTGAATAAATGGTACGTAATCTGTGATCTTGTAGTCTGAGATGTAAAATCTGAAGAAGGGTGTTTCCTTAGGACTGAAATTAAGCAAATAATGTTCTGCGCCTGCATAAAATTGATGAACGGCTAGGATTATATCTTTTTGGAAATACATAAATCCCAGGTTTAGAGCAGTAGCCAAATATTTGTTTAAAACTTGCTGTACAGAAGAGTACTACATATGTGGTTAAGGACATTCCAGTCAATAATTCATGTTCCCATTTGAAGTGAAAGGACAAATGCTGCTAATTTGCCCTTTTTTTTTTTTTTTGCCTTTCATATGCTGTCTGATACAATACAGTTCAATTTTACTTACATGCTGATCTCATCCTAGGAGTATTCACATGCAGCACTATTACAAATTTTGAATAATGCCGCAGAACTGGGTATAAGCTAAAAATGAATAGTGTTAGTTACTTTCCTCTGCATGTCATCTTTCGTAACTTGGTTGCATGTCACCATCAAATTATTCTGTGATTGGCATTAGAAAACTTTTGTAATACAGACTAAGATTATTTTTAAACCGTAAACATTCTTGATGTCTCAGATCTCAACAGAAATACGAACTTTTAAAGATTTATTTTAATAGCATACTAGCGCAGTCTCCTAATAATGGACATAGGTGCTTTTCAAAGTAGTGACTCACCATTACCCTAAATTTTTTTTGTATATTTGATTTCAGGCAAAGTATCCAGTATTTGTGTCTCTTCTTCTTTGAAATAAGTTATAATTCACAGTTTTATTGATAAAAAGATTTATGAGTGCTTTAAATTTGACTGTAGAATAATGTCCTGTGTATGGTACTGATTGCACTGTGCTGCTTTTCCTCATTCTTCTCACACAGATCAAAAGAGACACTGATTACTACCGATTTAAAAAAATTCATGTCGTGAAGGTTTTCGTGATTGCTTCAGGAATCCTTCACTGTAAAACTATTATTTAGTATTACGCTTTCATGCATTTACAAGAAATGTAAGTATTAATGCAATTGTAGGGCCTGATAATATTTTAAAAGAAATAAGGATGTTTTCTTGAGGCATTTGCTTATGTAGATTGCCATGTAAGTTCTTTGGCACGAGGGGTTTTGGTGTGCTTACCTGCTCGTGACGCAGAGGATATCTCATTCCTGTCCTGAGAGAGTAAGTAACTCAGGCTCTGATGCAAAATGCCAAAGAGGAGCGAGAGAGAACTCAGGCTTTTTTGCATCAGCTCTTCCGTATTGTAGATGATTTTAAGAGCTACCACATCCTTCTGGGGACTTTCTTTCTAGCTTAAGGATGTGATTTACACAGCCAATATTAGGGTAGATAAATAAGGAGATGTCTGATCATCTCTTTTTTTTTTTTTAATTCTATTCGGTCAATCTTCTCTCTGAAACAGCGTTCTTACAGAGAAGAAGCCTTGGAAGGGTGTTTCTGGCTCGGCACCGTCTGAAGAAGAGCAGTGGTGTTATTTAAGGTCTAGCACTGAAGAGTAGCTTCTGCCCTGGCAGCCTTCATTTTCCTCGGTTAATGTGGTTGCTAAAAAGAAACGAAATGCTGCCTGTCATAGCAAGAGAGGTTTGAAAAAGAAAACTCAGAACTGCATTTTAGTTAGCTGCCTTGTATTCATCTGGCAATGGGAGAAATAGTTGGGATAATAAACGGACTGAGATTTAAAATTGGATGGAGGCAAATTAGTGAATGTGATGCACAGAAGGGATCTGATAAATCCTAGAGGGATAAGATAAATTCAAAGAAAGGATAGAAGAGTAGGAAGAAGAAGCCTCATGTGAAACTTATGACTACTCCTTTGCCATGTTTAGCATCTATGAAATATTCTTAAAAGTAGACATCAATATCACTGTATTTCTGTCTTTGCCTTATTTAATTCTAAATGAAGCAATGTTTATAGAAGCTTTTAACTGCTAAAATCACCACATTACAGACTTTTCCCACTTTTCAGCTGTGGTTTGTCCCAAACCTATTATTTGACTTGTTTGGGCTTGAACTGCTTGATCTTGAGACATAGGTCTTTTCACAGATCTTTGTTCTTTTTCCACTTCCAGCTGAAAACATAACTAATGGCATTGAACCTGATTCTGAAATTACGTATTCTGCTATTACAGCAATGATGACCTGCGTAGAGTGACTGGAGCTGGTAACAGGGGTCAGGATTTAACCTCTAACAGATATCGTGATCATTTCTTTGTATTACGTATCTCTGTTTACATAAATGTAACCTGCTTTTTTAGCTGAAATCTTCCCATGGATAAAGACTTGGTTTCACTTTTCACCCGAGAGATTGCTGTCACAGGTGTTTATAAAGCATGCAAAGAACCTTCAATGAAAGGTGTTAAAAAGTGGCAGGTAGCAACATTTATTGAGTTGATTTATTTGATTAAATAAGTAATACAATTTTCATAGTTGGGAAAGCATAAAATAATATTACTAATCATAAGATTTACAGCATCTCTGATCCCAAGCTATATTTTCATTGCCATTTTATTTCCATCGTAAAAATTCCACTTTACCAGCTCCAGAACAAAGCAGGGAGGACTCTCTTTTCTCCCTGTGTTTCTCTAGCTACATTAGTTTCATTCATTACTCATGGACCATCCGCACTGTTTAATTTCATGTCTCAAATTTTGTCTAGGATGCTATGGCCCAGTCTGCTAAATTCTCAGAAGGTTAATTTAAATAATAACTACTTTGTCATAGCTGCATTGACATTAGCTCTTGTAATAACCTGACAACTATGCCCTGACATATGAGTTAGAGAGTGAGTGCACATACTTAGATGGAAACAGTTGTACAACTTAGCAGGAAGGGGTAAATTGCACCAACGA